CTCACGATGTTAACATGCGATGTTCTGCTAATACTTGCCACCTCGTTAATGAATTCTTCACCATTGCCTTTTAGTCCATTCAGGACCTTCACAGCCACATGATTTCCATTTTGCAGAGTTCCTTTGTATACAGAACCATATCCACCTTGACCTAGTTTGTTTTTGAAGCAACTGGTCATCCTTTTGACCTCTGAGTAGTTGTATCTCTTTGGAGCATATGACCCATAGTTCTTCAAAAATGCTTCAATATTTTGGTGATCCTCAGCATTAGATTCCCAAAACCCGAGGCACTTATACCGCAAAATCTTTTCTCTGAAGAAGAAGAGTAGAACCAATAGTCCAACTGTAAACAAAACTGCACCTGTGGAAAGCAAAATGAAGTCATGCACCATCAGAGAATATAAATTAAATTCAGTCTGGAAGTCCTATGAACTATTTGGGGAACAGTCTGTGTTTTGGACAATTCATATAGAAGATACGTACAGAGACAAGAAATACAAGTCGAAAGAGCAAAAGGGAAGCAATGGTATCTATGAAACTGCAGTGCCAGTTACAGAGAAGAAAAAAGAAGATGAGTTACCTGTCGCCACCATGAACCAGGTTGTTCGAAGATGAGTTAAATTTCTAACACCTGCAATACATTAAAAGCAAAACTTTAAAGATCTTTTAAATAAACCTCAATAGAGAACAGCAGAGCCAGAATTCTTTCCACGAAGTTGGTTGATACGATATTAAGTTTCAGTTGCTCATACCTTTGAAACAACTATATTCATGTTCACCACCAACCGAGCATTTCCCTCCTTTGGCAAGACACTCAATAGAAAACAAGCAGAACAAGAGTTATTTCTTAACAATACTATATATACCTTTCATGGAACAATGAAACTCGTGTTCATCGATCGTCTGGCATTTCCCTCCTTTGTCAAGACACAGATGACAATCTTTGGACAACTCCCAGTTTAGAAGAGAATCAGAAGTCAACAGTTCAAACAAGTCACCTGTATATGGTTTTGATGGTGTAGGCAATGGAATTGGCAGTTGTACAAGTGAACAGTTCTCTGGAAGTTTGCCACTTATCTTAGCACTAGTATTTCCCAATATTGTTTTATTGGGATGGTGATAGTAAACATTAAAACCTTCACACTCAGTATATCTATCAAAATCTTTGAAAAAGGAATCATTTGTCTTGTCATGACTATGTTTGCATCTGTACAAGGTTAAGTTAGGAGCAATTTGGAAAGAAATCAAAGGGGAATTTGGAAATGAGAAGTTTCTGTTAAAAGACTTGCAACTTTTGTTATCTAAGTACTCTTGAAGTTTAGGATCTGAAACAAGGAAAAAATCACCCTTCTTTACTAAAGCATCATAATTTTGTCCACCAAGTACAATCTTAGGATATGGTTTAGTATTACAATCAAACCTGCATAATCCACACTCAGGGTTGCTGGAATTTGTGAAAGGAAACTTCATAGCTCCAAGGCCTCCACACTCGAACTCATCAGTGCAATTGGATTTGGTGTTACCTTCTGCTTGAGCTAGGTGAAATATCATTAAACAACACAGAGACAAGAAAGCAGAAGCCATACCCTGTACTCTATATGG